GGCTGCAGCTACTCACTGTGAAAGGGCACCGGAACGGTTCAGTAAGGGGCTCTCATTCTGCTAATAACTGGAAGAATATGGCCGAATTCTCCATAACTTCCTGATACTCTGGATTCATCCTCTTTTTGAGGATCAGGCTTTTGCAGCCTGACCTTCACCCCCACACCCATACACCCCCCCCACACTAACTCCTGTAGAACATCGCAGGAGAACAGCAATGAGGGGGCACTGGCATAGCTGTGCACAACCTTGAGAGCTGGACTCCACCAAGAAAACCTGATAAATAAAAATATGGAAAAAAAATCACTATTTTTTTAAAAGTAAAATGACCAAAGCATTTTTGTAACAGGGCATCAACCTGAGCCATTTTATCCTCAAGGTACTTGGCTCCAGAAGTGGAAGACAACTATGAAGAGCAGAATAAACCCCTCATAATCCAGGGGGAAACAGTCAGTGACTTGTTACTCCTCTTAGACACCCAGAAGTCTATGGGCCAAATAGGATCCACCTGAGCATTCTGAAGGAGCTGGCGGACATGCTCACCAAGCCATTCTCCATCACCTATCAGTGGTCCTGGTCGATAGGGGAGGTCCCAGATGACTGGAGACTGGCCAATGTCACACCCATTTACAAGGGAGGATCCAGTGAACTGCAGGCCTGTCAGCCTGACCTTGGTATCGGGGAAAGCTATGGAGCAGGTCATCTTGAGGGTGATCACACAGCACGTGTGTGACAAACACGGGATCAGGCCCAGCCAACATGGATTCATGAAAGGCAGATCTTGCCTCGCCAACCTGATCTCCTTCTGTGACCAGGTGACCTGCCTAGTGGATGAGGGAAAGGCTGTGCACATGCTCTACTTAGACTTCAGGGAGGCCTTTGACACAGTCTCCCACTCCTTCTCCTGGTGAAGCTGGCAGCTCATGGCTTAGACAAGTGGACTCTGCTGGGTGAAAAACTACCTGGATGGCTGAGCCCAGAGAGTGGCAGTGAATGAGTTAAATTCAGCTGGCGACCAGTCACAAGCCGTGTTCCCCAGGGGTCAGTGTTGGAGCTGGTTCACTTTAATATCTTCATCAACGATCTGGATGAGGGGATTGAGTCCACCCTTGGGAAATTTGCAGACGACACCAAACTGGGAGGAAGAGTTGATGTGGTTGAGGGTGGGAAAGCTCTGCGCAGGGATCTGGACAGGCTGGATTGATGGGCTGAGACCAGCTGCATGAGGTGGAACAAGGCCAAGCACTGGGTCCTGCACTTCGGTCACAACACCCCCATGCAGTGCTACACACTTGGGGCAGAGTGGCTGGAGAGCCACATGGCAGAAAAGGAGCTGGAGGGGTGGTCGACAGCCGGCTGAGCATGGGCCAGCAGCGTACCCAGGTGGGCAAGAAGGCCAACGGCCTCCTGGCTGGTATCAGGAACAGCATAGGCAGCAGGACCAGGGAAGTGACTGCCCCCTGTACTCGGCACTGGTGAGGCTGCACCTCGATACTGTGTTCAGTTTTGGGCCCCTCACTACAAGGACATCGAGGTGCTGGAGTGTGTCCAAAGAAGGGCAAGGAAGCTGGTGAAGGGGCTGGAGCACAGCCCTTATGAAGAGCAGCTGAGGGAGCTGTGGTTATTTAGCCTGGAGGAGACTCAGGGGAGACCTTATAGCTCTCTACAACTACCTGAAATGAGAGTGTAGTGAAGCAGGGGTCGATCTCTTCTCCAGAGTAACTACAGATAGAATAAGAGGAAATAGCCTCAAGTTGTACCAGGAGAGGTTCAGGCTAGACATTAGGAAGATTTCTACAGGGAAAGAGACTTCCAGGCTGCCCGAGGAAGTGGTGGAGTCACTGTCCCTGGCAGTGTTCAAGAAACGTGTAGATGAAGGCACTTGGGGACATGGTTTAGCAGGCAGGGTGCTGAAGGGTTTACAGTTGGACTTGGTTATCTTAAAGGTCTTTTCCAACCATAATGATTCTACGATTTTCCACGAGAAGCAGAGAAATCTGGGGGAGGAAGTTTCTGTAACAGGCTTTTGCAACAAGTTACCGGTTCTCTGCCCACAGACTGCAGCTCTGTAAGAGATCCATAACTCTCAGCACGAAAAACAACTCAGGCAGCAATCACGCAACTACATTTCAAATGACCGGAATAGCAGATCAGCAAGGAAGGAGAGGAACACTATAGTTACAGTAATGGTACAAATCAAGGCAACATAAGGCATCCTTTTAAGCAATGGCACTGTGAAGGTACAATTCCTTGATAATAACGGAAATCAAGAGGAAAAAAAAAAAAAAAGTATTTGTGAAGGAGCTGTAGGCCTAATTGCCAAAATGAAGAGACTCAAAACTTCTACTGGAGCTGATAGGCATCATTAATAGGAAGTGACTCAAAAACCGTGTGTACAAAATTACGTATAATTTCAGCTAAAGAACTATATAAAATTGGCCAATGCTCATTAGTTAAATTTGGATGTAGAATGAATCTATTTGATCTGGCATTACAAGAGATAATGGCAGCACTAATGGTCGAGCTACAAAAAAACTGCTTCAGGCCAAACTTTCTTTTGTATCTGTTAGAATACATCTAAGCATTAAAGAAAACAGCCAAATCTGCTGACAAAGCAGGATTTTTTTTTTTAGTTACAGTAAATTGCCTTAATCTTAGAAATTTTAAATTAAAGTTGCTGTCGTGGTTGGCCCCCTATTTCAAAGGCTTTCCATTTCGATTTGTTCCTCCTCTTCCTGCCTTTTACATCTCCTTTTTGGCTCTTTGAGACTTTTTCACCATTATTTCTCTTCTTTCACCTCATTTGCAACTAGAGATTTAGCAGTCACCTGCGCACATCTGCATATGAATGCAGATGTCTTGCCTCTATATGCCACCTCCTAGAGGGCACAGCTTCCTCAATTCTAGCAATGTGCAGGTTGCTGCTGTGTTGCAACTTTTGCAGAATCATGCAATTATACCCTTATTTTCTTTAAGCTTCTGTGCTATTTCCTACTTCAAGACTGAAATCTTTCATACACTCCACTCTCTGCAAGTTCACTGCCTTCACTAAAGCACAAGTTTTCCTATCATCGGTCTCAACAGCATTGTCAGAAAAGTCAATTTTTTGCTGATTTCTTATGTGAGGATTTTATCCTCTTTTTGTCCATTGGGGACTCTAAATTCTGACCAACATTGTCCCGTGCAAACAGGTCAGCAGAGATTATGCAGGGAGGGGACATCCCAAGGGCTGAAAGGACCTTAAGCTATTCAGAGTAGCGATGAGGGCTGTACAAGCTACACAGAACAGAAGCAAGTTTATCGTGAACGCTACAGGAGAGGCCCCAAGAATGCAGTTTTCCTTTTTGGCTTGCTACATGACTCGCTCCAAAGACCTTGAGTGTCCGCTGATGGGAAAAAAAAAAAAAAAAAAACCCAGTCCTTTCTGCTGTTTTCCCTTCATCTTCATATTTAACACTATTGCTTACCTTTCAAAGTATTTTTCCTGTACAATGAAAAGCAGCATTACATTTAGAATAGCAGCACAGATACCATCTTCACTTTATTACTTAAGGCAAAAGAAAATAGTACTTCCCCTTCCTCCCACCTTGATAAAAAACAAAATCAAAACAATAAGAAAAAAGAAACACAAACATGCAAAAACTGTTATTTATTCATAACTTAGGCCAACATTGCCCAATTATCTTTATTGAATGCTGCATCACACACTTAAAATACAAAATGTTTCATTTTTTTTTGTAAAATTTATTCTCTTTGTATGTCTGCCAGCAGTACGTAAATTGCAGTACTTTAATTATACTGACCCGTATTCAATAGTACCTTAAAAACAGTGGAATTAAAAAGGGGGGATTTGCTGATTGTCAAAAAACAGAAAAACATTAATAATAAAATCCTATGAAATCCACACACAAAAATAATCACTAAAAGTGATTTTTTTTCATTATGAATTGATAGACACTTGCTAATGTATTTTTACAACCAGGTATTTAGATTAGTTTTCTACTGCCAACTGCAAAAGTTAAAAATCATGATATTAAATGCTTGTGCAATTACTCATGGCATTTAAGAGGTAACTAACTGAAACAAGGCTTACTTACCAGATGCCTAAAAAAATTTGTTACCTAATTATTCACAAAAGATATGTTAAGTATAATTAGTAGAAAATATCAAAAGTTTTACCTTATATTGAATCTATAAATAGATTAAAAAACATAATAAAGAATCACATAGCAGGCCAGAGACCTCTGTGCAGAGAATCCCAAGTAAACAAAGATGATAAAAATAAAATATCTCTGTGGTATAAACTAAATGTTAAAGAAAAAGAACTAAAAATTCACACCTTGCTATATTTTTCAGCATAAACCTTTTAAAACATTTTCTATCACAGTTTACTAGGTAGCCCTATGACTGGAAATGTGGCACGATCTCCCCCACTTCAATTCCAACAACCTTTCAGGTTTTGTCTTGACAAAACGAGCCTCAAAAGCTTCCTCTTCAAAAACACAGCTCTTACATGCTACAATGCACGTGATCTCCCCAAGGGTGGGAGCATAATGGTTCTCACAAGCGGGAAGTACTGCTGCTGTCAACAGAACAGATTAACAGACTTCTGGTTTGGAACTTCAAGCACCAAGATAGCTGGAGTATCATTTTTGAAATGAAAGATGTCCCCGATTCTTTCCATTTGTCTTAAATGAAAAGCCTTGCACGACTGGGGGGGGAAAAAAAAAGTCATTGTGTTAATGGCTACAGAACATTTAGCCATCAGCCTTAGCATAAAATACAATTCAATCTTTATACTCCTATTGCTTCTCCACTGCTGTTTATTAACTTCACATAATTTGAATAAATCTTAATATAATTTCCTTACAATGTTGGAAGCAACACACTTAGGATGCAAATCAAGATTTAAGTATTGATAATAATGCTCATCAAAAACAAGATTAAATGAAAATTCATTTGAGAAAACACACATAAATATACATGAAAACATTATATTGAAATATAATTCACAGCTTAAAGACTGCCAGAAAAAGTTAGCAGAATTTTGTTTCTAGCTCAAAAATTGAGCAAGCTACCTGATCTCTGCAACATTCATCACATTAATCACATCTTTTGTAATACATAAAGAATACCAAGGTTATCAACAGTCACATAAATGTCGAAGTTAGGGGACACATGTATTGACTTGAGGTTTGTTCCATTTGTGTAGAAGGTTTGTAAGGATTCTCCAGTAGTTACATTCCACCACTAAAAAATACATACATAAAATATACTTTCAGTTAGTTAAAATAAGGCTAGAATGAATTATATAAACAGCTCTAGCATGTTAATCCAATCAATTTCTTTCCCCAAAGGAGAAGAATTAAAGCAGAAAAACCCAAGCAATTTTAAAGAGAAAAGGTTTAGAAAGGGTCAAATTACTAGAGGTACCAGTCTTTCAGATGACCAGAAAACTGAACAGCTTCAGTCTTCTTGAACAAAGTAAACATACAAAATATTAAATACAGCAGTAAGACTAAATTCAGGCAACGTCCCATATCACTGTCAGGAAATATGACCAAAAGTGAATTGTAACACATCTAAAATTTAAAAGATGATGTATTTTTATATAACCCAACGAATACATGAAACTAATTGCCAGACAATATAACTGAAACTAAAAGGTTAGCTGGATTCACGAAAGGATAATAACTTTCACAGTTGAAACAGCACAGACTTTTTTAAAATGAGGTTATGTTGTTATATTTTAACACTAAGACACATGTATTACTCTCACAAAAACAATGGACTACATAAATCAAATGCAATCCAACCCAAAGCTGTTACTTTGTTGTAGTCAATATTCCAAGAAGTAGTCTACCATCTATTCTAGCAATATTTGATGGCAGTAGCTAAGTATTGACACAGATTAATTTAGATTGCCTATAGAAGCACACAATATATTACTACTTTGTAGCTTCCTCATCTCATGAAAAATGAACCATAACAGTTGCGTGCATAATGCAGTGTTGCAACTGAATGACTCTAGCGTTCTGATTAAAAATACCTCTCCCAGAGAACCTGTTATCCAATGGAGACCCAAAAAATCAACATCTTCACCAGCTCTTGAACTACTGTCGATAGGAAAAACCATCAGGTACTGAGCCAGTGGGTACTGCTCACTCATCAAGCTCAACCACATGCAGCAGAATGCAACTCACTTATGAATAAGGTGACTCATCTGTTTAAAGATTACTTCTCCTGTAACACTGAAACCCAACTCCAACCAATTTTCAGAGAACCAGACTTATGAAGTGTTTTGGACTATCACTAACTAGTATTTCCCCTGAAAAGGGGGAGGGTGGGAGCAGCACATCATATATATCCATCTGTAGGTCTAGAATGAAAAGTTGTCATGATTGAATTAGGACCCAGTGACTATGAAAAGGCAAATGTCACACCCATTTGCAAAAAGGGCAAGGTAGATGCTGGGGATTACAGTCATCTTTACTATAGCTCCTAACAATAGTATGGAGAAAGACTCCTGGAAGCCACTGTGAATCAGGTGAAGGACAAGAAGAGGACTGTGAACAACTGGAACAGATTTATCAAAGGCAAGTCTTGCTAAACAGTGTGACTGCCCCTCCGAGACAAGAACGGTAGCTCTGTAGATAAGGGCAGAACTGTGAATGTGATTTACCTCAACTTTAGTCAGGCCCCAGTACACAAAACACATTGACAAGGTGGAGTGGCACCAGCACAGAGGCAGTGAGATGAGGCCCTAGAGCATGTTGTAGAAGACAGCACAAGCACTGAGTTTGTTTAGCCTGAAGAAGCAGCAGCTAGGGAGAATCTAACTGCTGCCTTCATCTACCAAAAAAAACCCAACAACAAAAAAACAAATGTGTTAAGAGATGACAGAGTCAGGCTCTTCTTTCAGAGCCCAGTGAGGCCCCTGCTGGACATACTTAAAACTTGACTGGGCAAGGTCCTGATCAACCTAATCTATCACTAGCCCTGCTTTGAGCATGGAGATAGATTTCTTCAGTCCCAGAAATTCATAACAATCTAAAGCATTATTTGACTCTTTGAAGCATCATATTGTACTTTGTAACCAAGAAATAAAACTAGAAGGCAGGTCTAAACAAACATCTCTCTAAAAATGAAAAGAATGAAAGAAAATTTATGCACTTTCAATGCTAAATCAGAAAATTCAACACTCCTTGTTAGCAATTACTAGCTAACTTGAAAGAATTAATCTAATAGTGTGTCCAAGGGCTCAAACATTGACTAGCAATCAATTAGTCTTCAGTAGTTTGCAAGACACAACTGTCCACAATTGTCTCCATAACTATCAGTACTAAGTGGACTTTAAAGTAGACAGAAATGACTAATATTAAAATTAGCTTTATAGAAAAGCTATAGAAAAAAAACTTATCTTTAATATTAAAGATGTTAGTGAAAAATTTTCCTATTAAAATCTTTAGCTTTGTAAGCAACAAAACACATAGAATTCAAAAGCAAAATCCATCCTAAGAATTTGAAGGCTTCTTAAAATACACTTTCAGGCGGCTTTCATATTTAAGAAAAAAAGTAAAATCTGCAAGGCAGATGAGAAAATTAAGCAGTCCTGTGCCAAGTAGAGCACTTCATATTTGTTCAGTTTCTTTCAGTTTCCCTTTAAAATAATCCAAACATTGCCTTTTTAATTATGCCCTTCCATTACAACGTTTTGTTATTTTTAAGGTTTACCTTAAGATAGCCTCCACATGACACAAGCATCTTACTGTCAGGAGAAAATGAGAGGTCTGTTACCCAGCCACCATGGGTTGGTTCTCCTTCATCTACAGTAACTGGGGAGAAGTAGTGAAGTAATTCTCCTGTTAAGGCATCCCAAATCTAACAAAGAGAAGAAGTTATATACATAACTAAACTTAACAGAAAGAAAAAAAACTCAGGAAAAAACAAAATGTGTTTTTTCATATCAAAGAAAAAAAAACTTCATAAATTATCATCCTACCTGAAGTGACAAAATAATTCAGAAAAGGTACTAAGCTCTTACAACTGTACCATTTACAGTGAATTTAATCACACATGTGATTCACTGGAAAATTATCAGTAAATAATGTGATTCATAGTTCCTCGAAATTCATGGAACATTAGCCCATCAATACGGTTGCGAACTCCTACTGCCTGTAAATATGTGGCAAAGAATCAGGGGAAAAATGCATAGATTAGTGGGGACATTTCATTTCCTTTTCTTTATATTTATTACGCAAGGCTTTTTTTTCCTGCCCAAAATCTGGATTTAAAACATTTTAAGAAACTATAGTTTCTCACCTATAATCCAAAATCCTTCCTGCCTCCCCAAAACAGGAAAAATGAGCTTCAAAAGCTATTTGAAAGTTTTGATTTCAAACATTTATTTTGCATAGTTCTTTTAGGTGTTTGAAGTACTTCCATTCCAGTTCCATCATACTATCTTTTTTTTAAGCAGCTCTTGCTTTTCTACATTTTCCAAGTGTCCTTCATGTCTGTGGTAAGTCTACTTCCCAGACACAGCCACCCCATGTTAATTCCCTCCCAATGCTATTCAATACCCTGCTAATGAATTAGACCTACGAAACACAAACAAATAGATCTCGTCAGTCTGTAAACTAACTAGCAATGGAATTATAAAGTAAAGTGTAAGGTTAAAGCAGTACCCTTATTTCGCCTTTGTCATCTCCAGTGGCTAGGAATTTGTTATCAGAAGAGAAAGCACAGCATCGCACACAGGCTTCATGACCATTCAGCTCATGTAGAACAGAAGAGCTTTCAAAACTCCATATCTAAATGGAAAACACCACAGAAGAGTGAAAAAGATAACTGACACTTGAAAAACAGTCAAGTTTTCATCCATTCTTTCAAAGACAGCATTAGTATTCAAATATATAAAGCATTTTGTATGTGTGTATAAATAAAACACACAAACCCCTGGGTGTGACGATATGCTCATACGTGTTTTACTGTAGCATTTATGTTTTTTCTTTTTATCATCTGAATCACAAAAATGCATTTGCTACAAACCAACCACAAATATATTTTTGAGGGGAAAAACATTTGCTGCAATTTTGACGTAATGTGATACAACTGGTTCAGTTAGAAGAAAGTTCATTAAATTGTTCATAGAATCAGGATTCTTGAATTAATTATTATTTTTAAAAAATGATGATAACATACACCCAGAGCATTATAAATTTCAATATTTTCACTCTGTTTATGAACAGGAATCATGTCAGAAATTAGGAACAAGAAATTGGAAACAGATATTAGGAACAATTAGGAACTTTCACTTTCAAATTTTCTGGTTTGTTTTTTAACTTAGGTTTCCAAATTAGAAAACTAGGCTCTAAATAAAATCAATACAAATAACACACACACACAAAGTTCTACATGGACCAATTGTATACAAATAACACACACACACACACACAGTTCTACATGGACCAATTGCGCATTGAATGTGCATTTCATTTGTACAGAAGTAACCAGGATAGCCTTGCGGTATATTCAAGATCAATTCTGACCATCTCTAACAGCATTAGAAACATGTTAAAAAATACAGGAAATTTAATATTAGAAATACATTAAGATAATTTGGTTAGTCACTGGTTACCTCATAACAAAAACATATAGCACAATTTCAGGACAAAGCATCATGTTTACCTTTGTACACAAGATAACCAACCTTTGCAGTTTTGTCAGCAGAAGCAGATGAAAACTTGCTGCCATCAGGTGAAACAGCGCAAGAAAGAACTGTATCTCCATGGCAAGTAAAATCTTTTTCTGCTTTTCCAGTCATGATATTCCACACCTAAAAAATATATGGGAAAAAAGAAAGGTTAACAATATTAAAAAGGAAAGGACCATGTCTTATGTATACAAGATAAAGTTCAACTACAAAGTCCAAATATGGATATATCAAAATTTATATTGTATTTGCATGACTAAAATACAAGAATATGAAATTTAAACACAATGCAAAATGCAAATTTGAATTGTAAAAGTTTCTGCATCTTAAACTTAAGGAATAATTCAATCGAGTGATTCAATTTGTTTGTTAACATAATGGGCCTACCAAATGGTTAAAAAAAAGAACTATTAAAATATATTTCTGATTTGTGAACATAAATCTTTTATTTACCTTAACAGTTCCATCAAATGACCAAGAAAGAAGTTTTGAATTATCCAGAAGTCTAAAATCCTTGACTGCTTCTTTGTGCCCTCTTAGAAACACACGCTCATTCAACTGCCATCTCCATACCTGTTTGGAAAGATGGACTACTTTAAAAAAGAAAAAAAAAAAAAAAAGTATGGTAGATGTAACTTAGGAAGAATGAATTAACTGACTGATTTTAACCAATATATAAAAATTCTACAGTAAATTGCAGCTCATTAAAAGGTACTATATTCAATGTGCTTATCGTAGCAATTAATCACTAGCCTACAAAAGAATTTGTTTTAATTCACTCAATATTGCAAAGCGTGAGAACTAAAACTCATTTCATACTTTCTATACTTAGTTCAGCTTTCCCTTAAATAGTCAAAATATATTTTAAGTGAAATATTATTTTGATTAGTGCTTTTGTATTTTCAGTAACTCCTTACTGAAAATTCAAGTGTTTAGAGCAGCTATTAGACTTCCAAGAAGATAGATGATCTAACAGGTTTCCAAAATATGTCTCCTGCATCAAAGCACAAACACCAGAGGTGTTTCCATGAAGATCTTCAAGGCTTAACTAAGGCAATACCCACTAGGGGGGGCTGAGTACCTAAAAAAAACTACCCTAGATCTGAAGGAGGGATCCAAAAGCCAGTAAACAGGTGAGCTGTAAATACACTGCCTCACTAACCACAAAGAAAGCACCCAAACCCACCCCATCTTCAGATCCCCATGTTCAGTGGAAAGGCACAACAAGGCACTAGCACCACAACTAGCTGCAGCATGGACTACATGTACATTAGCAAGTGGGTGTCACAGGTTTGGTGAGCAAAGTGGTGCCAAAGACAACAGTCCACCATGTGGTTTGGAGACCTGCTTATATTGGGCTGTGTGGACTGACGCTCCATGAGGGGTTGGAGCCCAAACTCATGTAGGTAGGGATCTTGTCTGCATGCCTACGACTACGGGCAGCACACACTAAGGCACCAGTAAACATAACCAACAAAGACATGCTCTTCAAAAGTATATTCCTGATCTAAACTAGAATTTAAATGCTAACACAGACACAGCAGAATGTTTCTTTGGAATCCGTCGACAATGCTGAGGGGCAGAAAGTGTTAATTTGATACTACATTAGTGAAGCCATTCTCTTTCAAGCTAGAATCTATATTCAGTACTGTACTAGATAGACATACCAGCCTGCTCAGAGGCCAGATTTTTTCTTTTCCCCTTACCATCATTGCTTTCAGCAGTGCAAACCAGCCCAAGGACATCTTGTGCCAGATCCCAAACCCTTCTCTTACAATATCAGGAAAACTGCTCTCTTGTTTGAACACTAATGTTTCTCTTCACCCACCTCAAGTTGGTGGTTTTCTATTATTCACTTAAATAAAAGTTTAAAAGTAGAAATTGTGTAAGATGCATTAACACCTAAGTACACCGAAGCTAGTTTTTACAGTGCCTTGGTTCCCACCTAGCACTCTAACTTGCTGCTCCTTGGTTTTGCCCATCCAAAGAAGAAGCACAGTTACTTCTCTCCCTTAACCCTATTTCCAAATTGTAGGGTTTTTAGATGTATTGATAATATGCCCCTACCAACACCACAACAAATCTGAAGGAAAAAAAAATCCTAAATCTCCACATAACATATTGATCACAAACATTTATTTTTTTCCTGTAATGAAATCAGTATTTTAGAGTTTGCAATTCCTAAGTTATAAGTATCAGACCATGAGTTAGAATTGCCTGTGCATCATATGTATTTCATTTATTCTTTCATGGTGACAAGTAATGGCTTGCTAGAGTCTCCTTTGCAAGTTAAATCAGCAATCCAAGCTCAGAGTAGCAAGAGAATCAAAAATACCAAGCTACACTACAAAAATGTAAAGAGGCACCATTCAAAATGTACACGAAGTTGGAAACAAATCAAAATAAAACACAGCAGTTACTTATTGAGCTTACATCACCTAGAGTGTAAAAAAAATAAAACGACTATATCACCATAAATTTAAATATAATGATTTTAACTATCTCCCAAACCTGTATTACTGAATCATGAGCACTTGAAATAAGAGTCTGACAGTCAGAGGTAAACTGGCAATGCTGCACAGATGCCCGGTAGGCGTTCAAGGTTTTCAAAACTTTCCCATCCGACAACTGTAGTACCTGTACAATGAGGAATGCAATAATTCATTTTACATACTTGAGAAAACAGAAAAAAAGCACGTGCTATCTCTTTTATCTAACAAAAGATTGTAAATCCAAGATTCTTGACCAGCAAGTTGGAAAAACAAGAACATTTTTATTAGCTTAGCCTTTGATAAAATGAAATGTGGAATTACATGATTAGCAGTACCTCTAATTTACTGTCATTTGGGCAACATGTAAAAACTTCAATGTATTATACTGAAGAACGTCCTTGTAGAAAGTCATTCACATAACTTTTGTATTTTAATAGCAGCATCAAGAAATGTGCCTTTTTATAGGCCAAATTTAGGATTTAATACCTTTATTGTTCCATTCTCCTGTCCAAATGCGGCAAATTTAAG